CCCCAAAACCCCAAAACCCCAAAACCCCAAAACCCCGAGAATTATCATAATAATTGATTATTTATTTAACAGTAATGGAGCAAGACAGAGGTGATTTTAAGGTAAGAATAGTGGGTTTAAGGCCTTTTAAGAGGTTTTTAAGCTGAAGAGAGGACTTTAAGGGATGCTTTTTTGAGGTGAAGGGAGAGAAAGGGCAATTTGAGTAATAGGATTATATTTGTATAGGTACAGCAAAGTGAGTTTCAGCAGTGGAATGAGGGTTTGAGTGTGAATAGAGGAAGATTGAGGTAGGGGAGTTTTGAGAATTTGAAGGGATAGAATTAAGTTTAGGGTTGTAGGAGGAGGGCGGAAGTTGATTTCTTGGGTTTAGCGATGAATTTAGTGTCAAATAAGTATAATTAGGATTTTTAGGGATAGGTTTGTGCTAAATTTTGATTTTATTATGGTTGTTTTTAAACTGAATATAGAAAAGTATTCCGAAATCATGCTTGGACTAAAATAAATGGAGTACTAGTTGCAGAATATGAAGAAGTTTTAAAACTTTTAAAATAATCTCCATTTATTTCCAGTAAGCTTTTAATACACTTCAAATAACCTGATAGGAATTCATCACAAATTATGAAATAAAGTCTCTTCTCAAAATGAAAAAGAAAGAAAATAGAGAACTCTTATCTTTTGATGAGGTTGAATCCCTCCTTCACTCTATATGGGTATTATTCCTTCTCAAAAATTTAGAATAAAATAAAACAGAAGGAAAGAGATGGTATGACTGTAAATCAACATACAAATATAGAGCCTCAATCTCCATCTAAAGGAAAGACTCGTAAATAAAGTAGATTTGATAAAGCATATGTCGAAAGCATGTAAGGAGAGCTATCTCTTCTCATTAATAACAAATGAAGAGAGGGTCATCAGAAAAAAATCAAATGCACGCAGTAAATCAAGGAACCGCTCTAGAGACAGGTCACAAAGTATTCTTAGTCACAACCTCTAGGAAAAATATTCAAAATTCCATCAATGAAGAAATTTCAGAATGAAAGAAAGCTGATTGACAACATGGAGCCTATTCATACCCAGATTGATTTAACCTCGAAGGGATTTAGTAATTCATAAGAATAATTCTGTTTAGAAACTCCCAGCAACAATAAGTCTATTAAGAAAGAGTTGGAAGAAAGCACCGGGATATTCACTACCACTCAGAACTATATCGAGCGAGACCAGTTTGAAGAATCCAGACAGGGTACAGATCTGGTTTTATACCATAGAAATCATGAATAACAAAACTCTTAGTGGTATGAAGAAGAGGTCGAGGTCGCATAAAAGAGCGCCTAAGGAGCATATCCCCAAACCAGATAGTACAACCCATACTTGACAGTGTAGATACTAGAAATATGAATAACCGACAAGTCAACACTTATAAAAGACCAAGAAGAATCAAGAGTAAGTTACCATGGGAATATATTTAGGAGAGAGATCCCCAAATGTTACTTCTATCGCTATGGATAACCAATGTAACCCCTATGTCTGATCTTTAGTGAAAATGGCACTTAAATTATTAGGAAATAAGGCTCATTACAGAAGCCCTCAGAAGCAAAAACTGGAGAAGAGAGAAAGTATTCCTAAAAATTATAAAGCTGGGAGCCAAGGAATCGCCAAGCGCAAGAGGTCATGTCCTGGCGTTGATAGGATACAAAGGGACAATAAAATCAGAGATAAGTAAGATGCTGGTCTTATGTCTTAGAAAAGGGTCAGTTGAGAGAGTCCAATCGTCAAACAATATATCGTAAGAATTTGACTAAATAATCAATAGGACTCTTCAACATTTCTCTAAGAACCAAAATAAAGCGTAAGTAATTCTATAAACTTCCAGAAAATTTGCTAAGAAGAGATCATTAGAGCCAAAGCTGAGACATCAAACCGAGAAATTTCCGAATTCTACCAAAGCTCAGCTGCTAAAGAGACATAATTTCTTGATGTATGACAACCCCTTAGTTGACGCTAGTAATGAGGCTCTTTAATTTATAGAGAGGAAGAACATGAATAAGAAATTTGACAACGTAAAATTGAATATTTACACAAATAGTACACAAGAGATCAACAAGAACCAGAAAACTTCGAAGTTCGTAGTAAAGGAGGGAAATACACCTATATCGACCTAGAAGATAGCGACCAAGATGATGGACCCCCTCAAAAGTCTACCAAGTCCAGGAAGGTAAATGAGATTAACAAGACAGAGCTTAAGGGAAGAATGAATATTTTTAAGAATCCTAGCTTGAAGGTTATATCACAAAGTAATCTCCCTGTTATAACTTTTTAGAGGAGAGTCCTGAAGAGAAAGTCAAAATTAACACTTTATTCTCTAATTTTCAAGCAAATGCTAATACTGAAGATACGAATAGATTCATGAACAACAGATATCGCCCTACTGATCTTGAGTCCGGTATGAATGATTGCAGTATAAGGCTTTCAATGACAGATTCTGAAAATGTATAAGTTTGTTTCATAATATAGTTCCAAAATGAGAAATTTGAACCCCCTGTTGATGTTTCTGAGGAGGTAATAGACCACCATTCTCAGTATTCTTCCAACCAGAGGTCAAAGTCTCGTAGTAAGAATGCTGTAAAAGTACCGAAGTTTACTTACAAAAGTCAGATCCCTACAAAGAAGAATAGATATGAGAGATCTTCCTCATCAGAGGAGAACTTAGACATCAGTGAGGATCCTGATGGCCACTGTATGCAACTAGTCTCAAGAAGTATCATGAAAGAAGAGTTTAAGTTCAGGTAAAATATTTCGAATTTTCAATCCTTATCTACTTGCATGGGGTTTTGGGGTTTTGGGGTTTTGGGGTTTTGGGG